GAGCTCGTGGTCTTCTCCGCGGGCGAGACCTCTGAGCGCAGCGGCGCCCGCCGTGCCGGCGCCGCGATCCTGGGCGCGCTCGCGGCGGCGTGCGCGGGCCTGCTCGCGTGAGGAGGAGGAGGAGGAGGAGGAGGAGGAGGAGGAGGAGGAGGAGGAGGAGGAGGAGGAGGAGGAAGGGGAAGTGGGCTCAGGGAGTGACGCATGGAGGGGGGATGCGGTGGGGATCTGGTGGAGAGCGTGTCGCTCCGCCGGCTGGCCAACCGCGCTTCGGCGCGACACGCTGTCCACATCGCGGCTCCCAAGCGTCCACGTCCCGATCCCTGCCGAGCCTCCCGCACGGCACAGCGTATCGCCGGGGCCGCCGCGGCGGCACGCTGTCCAGGAGTTCCCGACTGCAGGGGGGGGGATATGGTCAGGGGGTGACGCATCGAGTCTGCACGAACGAGATGGGCACGGAAAGAACGGGTACAATGCTCAACAGCAGTTCCTGTTCATTCTGGATTGGATTCGCTGTCGGCGTCGCCGCGAATTGTGTCCATTTGAGACAGAAGGCCGCCTGCCAAACAGCGGCCGCTGTTGGTTCGGGACAACATTTGCTGTTGGGTATTGTGCCCATTCTTTCCGTGGCGGCGCGCTCCGCACGCCAGGGAGGGGGGTCCAGCGCGCCGATCCGAGGAATTCGCGCGGAGCTCTGAAAGTTTCTGTTCATGTCGTCATCGCTCCTCGAGGACAGCTCGACACCCTCGAGTCGTGACAACGTCGCGACTGGCGGTTTTCCACCTCGTTCGGCCTCCAGGGGGCCTTCAGAGGCCCCCGCCGAAGTACGCCAGCAAAGCACCCTCATAGCAGCAAAAGGTGACGAGGCGGTCGAGGAATAGGAGGTCGGCTCGTGCAAAAGTGCACTCGTATGTTGTACTTCTGTGGGCTCCTCCGTGAACGTCCATGTGCACCCTCCTGTGTCTTGCACCAGGGAGTGGCCGTCCAGACCCAAAAGATGGCCGGCATCGACACGAGAGCCCGATTCCTGAACACATTGCCTTGGCATCGATCGGACGTGTGCATTTTCCTTCGGCGAGGACCATCTAGGAACATCCTTGATCATTTGGCGAAAAAACCACGCACGAAACCGAAAAAAACACAGGGAATGGACGTCCGAGCGATGGCGAGCCAGGCGGTCTCGGACTCCCCGTCCCCAGTCCCCCCGTGGTGGGACTCTTCCGTGGTGCTTCTTACTCCGATTGGGTTCCTTGGCGCAGCGCTGGGAAGGCGTCGCGACAGGGAGGGGTGTTCGGCCGTCTGCGGTCTCGGACTCCCCGTCCCCAGTCCCCCTTGTGGGACTCTTCTGTGGTGCTTCCTGCTCCGATTGGATTCCTTGGCGAAGCCTGGGAAGGCGTCGCGACAGGGAGGGAGTGTTCGGCCTCGTCTGCGGTCTCGGACTCCCCGTCCCCAGGACCCCTTGTGGGACTCTTCTGTGGTCTTCCTTTGCCTTGGCGAAGCGCTGGGAAGGCGTCGCGACAGGGAGGGGTGTTCGGCCGTCTGCGGTCTCGGACTCCCCGTCCCCAGTCCCCCTTGTGGGACTTTCTGTGGTGCTTCCTGCTCCGATTGGATTTTCCTTGGCTGGAAGCGTCTTGTGGGAATTCGTGCGTCCGCGGCGACAAGGCGGAAGGGGTGTTCGGCCGTCTGCGGTCTCGGACTCCCCGTCCCCAGTCCCCCTTGTGGGACTCTTCCGTGGTGCTTCCTGCTCCGATTGGATTCCTTGGCGAAGCGCTGGGAAGGCGTCGCGACAGGGAGGGGTGTTCGGCCGTCTGCGGTCTCGGACTCCCCGTCCCCAGTCCCCCTTGTGGGACTCTTCTGTGGTGCTTCCTGCTCCGATTGGATTCCTTGGCGAAGCGCTGGGAAGGCGTCGCGACAGGGAGGGGTGTTCGGCCGTCTGCGGTCTAGAACTCCCCGTCCCAGTCCCCCTGTGGGACCTTTGTGGTGTTCCTGCTCCGATTGGATTCCTGGGAGGGCGCTGGGAAGGCGTCCCCGGCCGTTGCGGTGGACTCCCCGTCCCCAGTCCCCCTTGTGGGACTCTTCTGTGGTGCTTCTTGCTCCGATTGGATTCCTTGGCGAAGCGCTGGGAAGGCGTCGCGACAGGGAGGGGTGTTCGGCCGTCTGCGGTCTCGGACTCCCCGTCCCCAGTCCCCCTTGTGGGACTCTTCTGTGGTGCTTCTTGCTCCGATTGGATTCCTTGGCGAAGCGCTGGGAAGGCGTCGCGACAGGGAGGGGTGTTCGGCCGTCTGCGGTCTCGGACTCCCGTCCCCAGTCCCCCTTGTGGGACTCTTATGTGGTGCTTTTGCTTCCGAATTTCCTTGGCGAAGCGTGGGAAGGCGTCGCGACAGGGAGGGGTGTTCGGCCGTCTGCGGTCTCGGACTCCCCGTCCCCAAGTCCCCCTTGTGGGGACTCTTCTGTGTGCTCTCTGCTCCGATTGGATTCCTTGGCGAAGCGCTGGGAAGGCGTCGCGACAGGGAGGGGTGTTCGGCCGTCTGCGGTCTCGGACTCCCCGTCCCCAGTCCCCCTTGTGGGACTCTTCTGTGGTTCTTCTTGCTCCGATTGGATTCCTTGGCGAAGCGCTGGGAAGGCGTCGCGACAGGGAGGGGTGTTCGGCCGTCTGCGGTCTCGGACTCTCCCCAGTCCCCCTTGTGGGACTCTTCTGTGGTGCTTCTTGCTCCGATTGGATTCCTTGGCGAAGCGCTAGGAAGGCGTCGCGACAGGGAGGGGCGTTCGGCCGTCTGCGGCATCCAGGGGCACTCAGCGGGTCCAGGCTCCATCAGAGGCGACTCGGGATCAAGAGCTGGTCCTGGGGAGCGGGGCGAGACCTCCAGGGATGCGAGAATGTCAAAGCGCGCTGGGGGTCTGGGTTAGGAGTTAGGGCAACAACAGCTTGTGCGGATCAATCCCTCCCGCCCGCAACGCTCCCCAGAAGGACCTCTTCGACAATCTGAACGCGTCAACGCGATCTGATCTGACCTGCTCGTTGCGGCTTCCTGCGGCGACGAGGACGATGAAGATGCGGGCATGGATGTTGTTGTTGCTGGTGGCGACGGCGAGGGTGTGAGCGCTTGGGTGCGAGTGGAACGTCAATGAGCGCCTGGGCCTGGGGGGGCATCTTGGCTATCGCTGTGTTGTGTTTGTTCTGTCTCCTGTGCACAGGTGTTTTCCGGGGCCGGAGTCGATGTTTAATATCATCAGATGTGCATTGAATTGTATATGCTGCATGGCACGGTGAGGACTGGGTCGTTGTTGAGGTCAGCAGCTCTGCACTGAAGACCATTTGTTGCACAGTGTGGCGAGGGTGGGGTCGATGTGAAGACCAGCAGACGCGCACCGCATCTTGTTTCGGGTATCTGACGGTGAGGGCTGAGTCAGTGCGAAGATCAGTACACGCACATAGCGTAGTATGATGTCGCATATGATGGTGAGGACAGGGCGGATGCGAAGATCTGCCGACGTCCGCCAAAAGTTGTTTCTTCGGCCAGGGATGAAGGGGTGTCACAGCCCATCGCCGGTTTCGGACCGTCCCCCGGCCGGCCAGAGCAGGAGATTATATGTTGTATGTATATATGTATATATATATATATGTATACATACGCACAGCACGCTTCGCGTATCCCCACCAGCCCATTCGGAAACCTTGCCCATGAGAGTCGACGGGAACAGGGACGAAGAGACACACGTAGTGAAACAAAAGCAGGTAACCAGTTTGAACAGATGGATATCTGGGAGGACGGGGTTGGACTTGAAGGGCCTCTTCGAGCCATCCCTGGGGCCCGAGTGGGGGCCAGGAAAAGAGGAGGAAGAGGAGGAGGAGGAGGAGGAGGAGGAGGACGACGACGACGACCACCACCACCACCACCACGACCACGACCACGACCACGACGACGAAGAAAGGAAGAGGATGAAAAGGAAAACGAAGACGATGAGGACAAGGACGAGGACAAGGACGAGGAGGAGGAGGACAACGAGGACGAGGACAGAGCCCTCAAACTCGCCTCTCGGAGCACTCTTAGGATTATTTTGGGGGTGTTGGGGTCATCTTGGGGTTCGTTTGGGGGTCGTATGACCCTCTTGGGGGTCTCTTGGCGGTCCCTTGGAGGGCCTCTTGGGGCCAGATTGGAGGCCGTCGATCTTGGAGGCCCTCCCCCCCCCACCCCCTTGGGGCCATCAGAATCGCATTTGGGGCCCTCATGGGGCGCTCTTGGGGCCGTCTGGGGGGCCTCTTGGGCCTCTCTTGGGCCTCTCTCGTACCATCTTGGGGCCATCGTCGGCTATCGTGAGCCATGTTGGAGACCATCTTGGAGCGTCGCAGGCCATCTTGGTTGGGCGCCCGGACCGACCGCGAAGCCCCCCCCCAAAAAAAATAAGGAGGGGGGAGAGGTAAACCTCCCGGAAGGGAAGAGGTTATTGGAAGAGGAATGGAAGGACTCGCTAGTACACCTCAGCCCAAATGGCTGGTGCCACTGTAGGATTAGGGACACAGGCCATGCCAGCGCCTGGGGCCTCCACGGCGTGTCGCGCAAGGCCCCTCTCTTTTCGTCGCCCGAGTGCTGCCCCCACGGTGCGGCCCCCGAGCGCGGCCCCCACGCGTGGCCCCCGAGCAGGGCGCCCGAGCTGCCCCCCCCCCCCTCCCCCCGAGTCGTGCCTTCGCGCGTGGAGCCCTGAGGGCTGCCCTGGCGATCAAGATTGAGGATCCGCATGCCTCGCTGCCGGTTCTCCCCCCCCCTCCTCCTCCTCCTCCCTCCTCTCTCCTCCTCCTCCTCCTCCTCCTCCTCCTCCTCCTCCTCCTCCCTCCTCCTCCTCCTCCTCCTCCCTCCTCCTCCTCCCTCCTCCTCCTCCTCCTCCGCCTCCGCCTCCGCCTCCGCCTCCGCCTCCGCCTCCTCCTCCTCCGCATCCTCCTCTCGCGCGGCCGCCCTCGTCTGCGTTCCTTCCTCTTGCGCGCCGTGATGTTGCCCCGGTGGGCTCCGCACTGGTGCGGATTGCCTCTGCGTCGCCACCGACGAGCAAAAATGCGTCGCCACCAGCTCTGGCCCACCACGCCTCGAAGTCTCGGAGCGACACACGAGCCACGCCAC